TAACTTTTTGACGCCCAAGAGCTTCATCTTGTTCCACAGTTCGACGCCTTGCCATCTCAAAGTGCCAGATAGTTTTGAAAAGAAAACGAATTGCACGACACTACTAGTCCCGTGCAGTTCGGAAAACTCTTCCTCAGCAAAACCGACCATTTTCATCTGAAAAGGGCCGGTTTTGCTGTTTTTTCAGAAAACATTGATTTTACTATATAAATTTTAAAAATGGGTGTTTTCAAAAATTTGTCCAAAAAATAACTATTGGACTTACCTTATAGGGTTTTTCCTATAAACTACCTTAAAAATAGAGTAATTATTCAAAACCATATTTAAATTTCAAGTTATATACAAATTACATTTAGGCTTGGTTTCGTACGAGGTACAAGAAGGCAAGCTAAGGTAAGCTAAGGTTTAATGAGATGCAAAGAAGGATATATTTTTGTAGTTCCTGTTTTGTTGGAGAGGGAGTGAGGAAAAGCACATGACTTTTCATTTCATTTTTCATTTTCTATCACATCACTCTTGTGTCTTTCTAATTGAAGGGATTTTCACTTTCTTTACTTTCTAGTTATTTTGCGTTTCTCTTAACTCACTCTACTCTGCCTCACATCTCCTTCCTCTCTAAGAACCCTCTGCAGAAGATTTTTTGTTGCCGTCGATTAAACCGGTAAGAAGATCACCCTTCACTTTGACTTACCTTCCCTCCTACCAAGCCAAGCTTTAAATGGGTTTGCGTTGTAATCAAACACCTCTCAGTCAAAATATTTTACTAAAAAAATTAAAAATATCATCTAAAAACTAACATTCAAGACACATTACTTATTTTGTTAATGTTTAGATCTAATTAGTTACAACTCACATAAAGTGATCGTAATTTTTAAGATTATTTTTGGGTTTTTAGTGAAAAGTTAAATTGGGAGGTGGTTAATCTCAACAAAAACCCACTTCAAAATTAATTTATGTATAAATTGAAATTCAAATAATTTTTTTGTAGAATTACCTTATGAGATGGTTTCTCTGAAAAAAAAAATTCATAAGTTTTAGAACTAATTTCACCTCTACTTTATATATGTAAAGTAGATTCAAAACTAGTTTGATCTGTACTTTATATTTAAGGCTTAATTTCTACTAAACTATTAAACAAAAATCCTTCGTAGCACCTACTGATACAAATATAAGAGATGGTGGTATTTTAAAGCGCACATAAGAAGTTTTT